TCCTTCCTTCCTTCCTTCCTTCCTTCCTTCCTTCCTTCCTTCCTTCCTTCCTTCCTTCCTTCCTTCCTTCCTTCCTTCCTTCCTTCCTTCCTTCCTTTTTTTCTAGTATTCTGAGATAAATTGCTCCTGAAAGGCAAGTTTTTCTTATTTTTGTTTTTGTTGGTTTTGTTTTTATTAAACTATGAGTAACAAATATTATCAGGTAACTAAATTAACATAAATCCAAGATGCATAGAGAAAAACAAGAATATAGAAGATATCAAAAATATCTACTAAAAAGTAAATAAATAGACAGGTATTACACATGTACAAAATTACCATATATGTAAAGTATTACCATATTATGGGGTATTGCTATTGAGGTAAACCATTAAATCCATCTAAATTTGGTAGAATTGTGGTTTCTGCCTCTGATGTCTCATTGCATTAATTTTGTCTGTGATCTTTTTTTCTCATGTGGCAATGGAAGAGGCCTTGTTAATCCACATCTCAACTGTAACGTTATCTAGAGTTTTCCAATTGTTATTTTAGCTGCTGAAATTAAATAAATACTAAGTTCCTTGTTTTTAAGCTTGATGTTTGGTCCTGTAAATAAATGCAGTAAGCCTAACTCTGGGGAACATTCGATTCTTTGTTTAGTAATGGTTCTTATCTCCCCAAAAGTTTTATGCCAAAAGGGTATAGCTTTATTGCATGGCCACCACAAATGAGAGAATGACCCCCCCTCTTTTTTTTTTTTTACATTTTCTCCAACATTTGGAAGAATACTTTTGATATATATGTGCTAATCTGACTGGACTCAAGTGCCAGCGATGAATAATCTTCCATTGCAGCTTTTTCATTGAAGTTGAGGTGAATCCACCTGGTTTTCCAATTCCTGCCAATTTGTCTCCTCTGTGGATCTACCAAGATCAGTATCCCAAGATTGCTTTAAACTACGGGGTGGATCTCCTATGTCTAATTGCAACAATAACCTTTTTTTTTCCCCCTGGAAGTTGAACTCTACTCATCTTAAAGTTGCTAAGATTGAGAAACACTGAATCAGCGAGTCTTTGGATATTTTCTGACCTGCAACGCTAAGCAGCACCAGATGGTATAGCCTAATGGTGGGGGATGCTGGGAATTGTAGTTCAGCAAAATCTGGGTGGCTATAGGACGCTTGCCCCTCTTTTAGCTCACTGTGGGTATAGCATGTGGGGAAGATGGGTCTGGAAAGCTGGTCCCACTGAACTGTCCTCTCCTGTCTCTCCCCCCACACCAGCATAATACCCATTTACTCCATGCTCCTAGACAGCGCCCTGAAATAAATACATTTTAAAAGCCAAAATCTTAAGAACACCAAATCTTGGGAAATGTCTGTTTCTCACAGGGATTTCGGCAAAAACACATTTCAGAAGATTCTAGGGTGAATTTGATAGATAGATAGATAGATAGATAGATAGATAGATAGATAGATAGATAGATGATAGATAGATAGATAGATAGATAGATAGATAGATAGATAGATAGATAGAAAATTCAGATATAATGAAATTGAATGGGGCATGTAAAAAATATCTCTACATGTTGATCCAAAAAAAACAAACCTGCGGGAAAAACGCCAGGTAGAAAAAAGATGTAAAAAATATTTCTCTTTGGGTAATTGAAAAGGTTGTCAATCCCATTTTGTAGGGCAATGTCTGAAGCCTCCTGCAGTCCTATTTCCACCTAGCTCTATCATGAAAAAGAGGCTCCCGATTGTGTTGAGACTTCGAACCCTAAGCTTGTTACAGCCAAGCCCAAACACTTCCTTGAAATAGAAGGATTGTTCAAGTCATTCTTTTCTCCTCATTACCGCCAGGAATAAAAATGACTATTACTCCCTGCACTATGGTTGTTAGATAGCAGCTTCTAGCATACCATTTTCCATCCACTCAAAAAGGAGGTGCATTTCATAATAAAAGCAGCAAGAACAGGAAAGACCCTATTTGGTTGAATGTCACAGGAGGAAAGAAGCACCATTTGTAGATCTGTAGATCCCAAAAACATTGTGCTTTTCTCAAATAAAATGGCACATACACAATTGCTGGTTTATGTGTTGTTGTTTTTAATTCTGGTAAAAGAGGATGCCACTGACTGACACCTTTCTGAATTACTGCAAATGGACAACTTGGGACACAACTGAGTCAATACATTTCGCTTCCATGCATTCTGGGATGGGTTAATACCCATTGAATGAAACAAACCTTAACGTAATCTGCCTAAAATTGGCACTGTGTAATGTTTGAATGGAGCCATAGTGGTCTGTAAGTTGTGGTTTGTTTGTTAGTGTGTGAATTAGCCAACTATCATTCATGGCTGGTAATAGCTTAGAGTGAATCCATTCACCATAACACGAGTGGTGCTTTCAGACCCTAGATTTTCAAATAGTGGTCTTCAAAACAGTCTAGTGTTACATGTTTCTTTAGCAAGACTGGCTTACAGATTCCCATGGAAATGTTTCATGCCATGATTAGATCCCTCTCACCTCTTTTTTACCTTTTGGCAAAGCATATGATTAGAGTTTTACCCTTGCATTAGAAGGTGATAGAAACTAAGCTCTTTAAGCAAGACCATCTGGGCTGAGCAAAATCATTTGGTGCAAAAGAATAAACCCTTTTAAAATTCATTTCCAACTGACTCAATCTGTACTTATTTTGAAGGCACTAATCCCCTACCAGGGATCTATTTATAGCCTGTCTCAGCTTTAATTGCTGAGAATATAAATTCTATAAACACATACACAGAACTTGTTTATATCACCACAGGAAACAGGGGTTGCTAACTGAAGGAACAATCTTGGCAAGAGACTCCCAATGCCATGCAAGGACAAGTGTTTTCCTCTGAAGCAACAAGACTTAAATACTTCACAGTGAATTTAAGTCCAATTCTGCATTCAAAAGGAATAAAAAACAGGTTTAACTTTCCCTAAAGTTTAGCCAGTTTCCTTCTGGTGCATTGTTAAATTAAAGAATTAACATTTTACATTTCCCATGCTCTGGTTGAAATGCCCGAAAAAACTCCCTGCTCTAAAAGCAGAGTTGTGGGATTCAGTGGTGAGAATCCAGGGCAGTTAATCCATTTCACCTTTCAGCAGAGGCGAAGGACATACAGAAAGTCACAGGTTCAATCCCACAGGTAGAGTCAGGAAGGTTTCCTGCCTGTGACTGCAGACTGCTGCTTCCACTGCTGAGACAAAAAGATCTGTGGTCTGACTCTGTAGAAGGCACTTTCTCACCTACTTAGGCCTTTCTTCCTTCCATCTGGAGAACTTGTCAAGAGACGCTTACTCCAGTCTAGGAAGAAAGATCTCTTCTCTGCAAAACCCATTTAGCAATGTTGAGGCCTCACTCTCAATGTCCTTCAGGGGTAGAACATATGTTTGGCAGGCAAAAGTCTCAAGATCAGCATCACTGGCAGCATCTGGAAATATTCCTTCTTGAATCCCCAGAAAGATTCAGGGAGTCCATGTAAAGAAGACAGAGGTAGTTGGACTGAGAGTGTGATTTATCTCAGGACATTTCCTATGTGACATCTCAGCTGGGTTTTGCACTACATGCTAAATGGAGATCAATAGTTGTTGGTTCAGAGTGTTCTAGGTACCTACCATGGTATAGTGTGAATCTGGCTGTTCCCTTAAGCCATAAGATGCTTAAAGTTCAGATAAGACACTTAATCAAGCCAGGAAAAAAGAACTGCATCTCCACATACATTAAACTTCGTTAATTGTAACTTCATTTTTTATGACTCAGTGAGTTGTGCAAACCCAGCCGGTTTCGTTAATTTGTGACTCATTATTATGCATGCCTAGAAAATTGATTAATTCAACAAGCAAATTAAATGTGTTGTGTGAACCTGGTCAGGGTTAGCCAGCAAAGCAGTAGGTGCTTCTTCTTACCAGGTGATGGGGCTAAACAAACATGGCCAATACTCTATCCTGAATTTCAAGAGACCATATCCCAAACATACCTAGATGCCTCTCTCTCTCTCTCTCTCTCTCTCCATATTTCCTCTCCTGGGCATCCCTGGCCTTCTGACAGATTAGTGGCGTCTTCTGGTTAGATCTGTTTCCTCTATAAAGGCCTGGCCTATCAGAATAATCTTGTTGCCACAAATGGGTAGGTGAAAACTCCATTGCTCGCCATTCATAAAGCCTCAAGCCCAGCTATGGTACCAAGAGGATAAGACCATGGTTTCTGGTGCAGTTGCTGAAGTTTGCCTTGAGCAGCTTCTTGGGACTTTGTTCACTTTGCATGAACCATCATGATCTCATAACACTTGGTTAGATCTGGCTGTATCTGAGGCAGTCTGGAAAAAGTAAAAAGTGGACTATCCAGAAAAGTCCAGATGTGATGGTAGATGGCCATTACTAAACAATCCATGGAGTTGCCACATTTACGTTGCAATACTATGATCTGTTCTTGGAAACCTGAGAAGGAAGGTTTGCAGAGAACCACTTCTTGGGAAACCAGCTTTCTCCTTTTTAAATTTCCATGTGCTGTCCTCTATGGTATACAATAAGGTTAACATCTTGTTGACGGTATAAACAGTGTCCCCCCTGATGACTGCAGTGAAGAGTGCTCCTTTGCTATTCATGTACTGTCCAGGCAAAGATGTCCACTGCATCGTAGTGAGATTGAAGCAGTCTATCATACATCGCAGGAAATCATCAAAAGGCCCATTGCGCATGATGTAGAGATTGTCTCTATGAGACACCATACAGTGGCCATAACTCTGAGGCCGGTTAAGGGTCGAGATGGGAAGCCATTCATCTTTCTGGGACAGATACTCATAGATGACTGTGGTGTCGAGAGGTTTCCATAAACAAACAAAAATACGCCCCATCGCTTGGGCACAGGGTACAGCTGCTGCTGGTTGGGGCAAATCTGAAAGAAAGTTCCACTTGTTGGTTGATATGTTGAATTTTTCTACTGATTTCAGTGGTGTTTTCTCAAATTCACCACCAATAGCATACAGATTATCTTCCAGGGCTGTCAAGGTGACATCATACCGAAGTTGCTGAGGGCTAGAAAATTCACTCCAGATGTTGGTTACTGGATCATAGCAAAAACTTTGGTCCACAACCTGTTTGGTGTACCCATGGACCCCACCCACAATGTAAATTTTGTTATCTAGGGTTGCCATGCCAGCTAGAAAGGTGCTGGCAGTGAGTGGTAAATAAGAAAGTGTCCTCCAGGCATTGGTTTCCTCATCCAGGTAGCAAATAGTTCGTGAGACATCCTCCAAAAACTCGAAAGTGGGTGTGTGAGCTCCCACCGCCACAAAGTGACTGGGGAGAAGAGACTCTACATAATCCAAAAGATCTGGAGAAAGGCAGTCCAGATATTCCTCCAGATCAGAATAACTATCTCTTATATACAGAGCGGCCCTGTGGAGAAGGTCCAGAAGGCCAAATATCGCAGCAGCTTGGTACAAGATGATGCAGTTGTCAGAATTGATGGATGCAATCAGATACTTGGCCAGGGCCTTCACCTGCAAGAAGGAGGCACATTCTACCGCCTTGAGGTTTTCCTCACAGCTCAGCATAGGGTACTCCCCTTCCAGGACTTTTAACATGACGAAAAACCCAGTGGCGCTCAGATTCCTGATCTGGATCTCCTTTTGCGTGCTCTCCCTCATGCCAGACTGGAAGAGAGCACGGAAGTATTCACTGTATTCTACCAGAAGAGCCTTGTCCACGGAGAAGAACGTATCTTCCACCTGGATCCGCACATGTTCAACAGGCTGGGCTTGCATGGCCTCCTTGTTGCCAGGATCGCTTTCTCACTAGTCCATCTACAAGCACGTTGCCAAGGAGAAAGCAGCAGTCCCTGTAATTTCTACTGTTCTGCGTTGGCTTGAATGGCCGAGGTATGCCTGCATGCTCTGTATATAAATACCTCCTTCTAAAGATAACTGGTGTTCATGTGACCAGAGTAGCCAGCAACATGAGCAGGATCAGATCTTTCCAATGCATTTTGCAAACTGATATCAGTAGCATTTCTTTAGTTCAGTGTGAAGGAGAGCGGCTGCTGAAAAAAAAAAGGGATTCTTTGGATTGGACAGATCAGCAGAGGTCACTTTCAACAGAAGGTGACTGTGACGCTGAGAACAATGGCCCTCACAGCCTCTAGAATGGGGTGCCCCATTTTTTTCTGGGGTGCAACTGCCCTTGGCTTGTGAATGGAATGCCAGCGGCCGCCCTCTGAAAGTGTGGGCAGTGGATGATGGGGGACAGGACAACACTAACTTTGATTTCAGTTGGTTTACGTTCCAGCCAAGGTTAACTGAAATTTCAGTGCATGTCCAGGCACATATTGAATGAATTCCCCTCAAATTGCAATTTGATATAGCTTTTGAAGATCACTGGGGGATGAACCCTGGCCTTGAGGGGTAGTGGTCTCCATAGGACCCTCAGGCCTTTTCGTGTATACTTCTGCTGTTGGAGAAGGACCCTGAAGGATTGTCTAGGGGGATCTAGGATTAAATCAGGTGAGCTGGGTGGTTTAATTTGGCTTCCTGCTGATAATAGAAGACCGAGGAGACCAAGAGCCTTGCAATGCAGTTCCATGGAGGCTTTTTCAGACTTTTTTTTAATATCAGCTATTTTAGCAGCTGAGCAGGACCAGGGTAGGGTAAAAATAGTCAAGGTGGCAGCCGCATCAGTGCAGGAAGAGTTTTCTCTTCCTATTTTTTACATATGTCCTACACTCTTCGATGGCACTGTCATGGCCCCCATCCTGACTTTTTGACCACATCCTGTGGACACCCTTGCTGAAGACAGAGGGAATGGCCTTGAAGGACAGGAGGAAGAGCCGTTACCAAGGCAATGGTCAGAGAAGCAACATTTGAGTCTGGGCCAAGAAAGTAACTTGAGAAAGCATCTCAGACAGGCCCCTCCCTAGTTCACCCAAAGACAGAAGGAGGGAGGAGGGAGCACATTGAGACTTGCAAGATTTTGTCACTATAGCTGTCACAGTAAAAGTAGTCCTGACTTATATGGCATTGGTTTCTTAGTCTGCTCTACCTTGTAGGGCTGACATTTACTAAAAAAAGTTTTCCAAAATGCAAGAGCAGAGACTTCTGGACAGAGCCTATCCTGACCAAACCCTTGTTCACTGACCCTTAGAAAGTGCACAGAACAAATAACTGTAGGGCAGGGGTGACATGGGTGACCCAGTTGTCTTTCAGCATCTTCTGCCATGATTGATTTTGTGAGAGAAGAATCTTGGGTTAAAATTAGGGAGAAAGAAATGCAAGGGACCAGAGCATGAAAACTCCTGCCCATTCCCTCTGTCCAGATTATGCTGAGGGTGGAAATCACTCGACTTTGCCCCGTTTCTTTTCACTACTCTGTTTTCCCTGGATTTCCACAAACCCTCGCTGCATGGAAGAAGATAAAGTGCTTCTGCTTCATCTCTCTCATACAAGGAAGTTTTATGGTTGCAACTTGATCTCACACTCATGTAAATCTTCCAATGTTTAGCCTCCTGTTTAGAAAGATGGACATTTGCCAGACCCCAAGTTTATGAAAAGCAAAGTGCAATAACGACCTGTTCTTGTCTCTCATCTCATCTCATTTCCCATCTTTCTCTGCTTCCACGTTACTTGTTTACTCTGAAACCCATCACATTTCCTTGCTCCTTTATTACAGTTGTGTGTGTGTGTGTGTTTGTGCACGCAGTAGCCAATGTGTATTGAGCTGTAGTCAGATCCTCCCAAGAAGCCACTACCCAGGTCACAAGCTGTCCCTTAAAAAACATGAGTGAATAATGTCCAGGATCCTGCTGAACACAACATGAAGTTGAGTGTTCAGATACGAAAGAATTGTACCAAGTATTCCTTTGGCACTGGATCTGCAGCTTTTGCCCCTGAGGAATTTGTGGCAGAAGGAAGACATAAAGTTCAATTAGAATTTGTCACATGTTTTCCTTCCTTCCTTCCTTCCTTCCTTCCTTCCTTCCTTCCTTCCTTCCTTCCTTCCTTCCTTATTCACTCACTCACTCACTCACTCACTCACTCACTCACTCACGCACTCACTCATCTCCTTTTTAGCTTTTAAAAAATCTACCCTGCTAATTTGACTGCCAGTCTGGTGTAGTGGTTAAGGCATCAGGCTAGAAACTGGAGACTATGAGTTCTAGTCCTGCTTTAGGCACAAAGCCAGATGGGTGACCTTGGGCCAGTCACTTTCTCTCAGCTAGGTAGGAGGCAAGGGCAAACCACTTCTGAAAAACCTTGCCAAGAAAACTGCAGGGACTTGTCCAATCTCCAAGAATCAGACATGACTGAATGGATTAAAAAAAATTTTTTTTGGATGCAATATTTCTTTTTAGCTCATGTGCCTCCTGGAATGATCATGAGCTGAATTTTTGAGGGCCCTTGCATCTCTAGCATAGATGTATGTAGAGGTAAAGCATAACACAGAATTCAGTATTATTATGCACAGAAAAAGCTTCCTGCCAACCTGACTTGAACTTTTTGAGTTTCATAACTGTGTGTGTATCAATATGTGTGGAGAAAGTTGTCATGCTGCAAAGCGATGCAGGAATCTTAAGCATATTTTTTATTTAGAAGAAAGTTCAGAGTTTCACATGCACACCCCTTTTCTGTAACAATATTTCTTCTTTCCCTGCCTATCGTGAATATAACTAATACAGTTAGAGAATCAACATCATTTCTGGAAAATCATGCCACAAATCCTACAGAACTAAATGGGAATTATAGCTGAGTAAACATACTCAAAGTCTTGCCATAAGCCTTCTATGCTTAGCCTGAGAATTGTGGGAGTTAACACATCTGGAAAATGCCAGATTAGGAATGATGGTTTTAATCATTCCCAACAGAACTACTTCTCCAGTAGATCAACAGGACTGCTTATCATTTTTAAACAGCTCAGGGGCAGAAAAGAAAAAAAAATACAAATTGGTCTGAAGCAAACTGGATTTGGTTCACCTTTGAACATCTGCTCTTTCCATGGAAAAACAGCATGTCTTTGCCATGTGTTCTACCAGGAAATGCTTCTCAAAGGATAATCTGGTTGGGTTCACACCACCAGCCAAGCCCAAAGCCAGGAAATGGCATTGTGGATGAATTCATCCAACATCTGAGCAATCCTGTCATTTGCTGGGGTGTGGATGAACAAGTTGGTTAAACCCACCACTGTGGTTTCTCCACCACGATTTATGTTTTAGTGTGTAGTGTGAATCCAGTCAGCTATGGTTCATTCAATACAACATAATGAAACAAACAACAGTTTGGTGTCTTGGCTGAATCCTATCTCTTACCAGAACTGCTGGTGGGTGAGAAATCAGAGTCTTTGGTCCTATCGGAGATGATGTTTCTCCAAGACATTTGAGCACCACCACTGGTGTAGGACTGAGATCATTTTAGGCCCTTATGGGAACCCCTTAAACAGCCAAGTTTCTTCCTTTGATTGTGGATGCTTGGAGAAGTTCTGGTTTGTGTGCTAGGCTTCAAGACAATACATCCAGCCGTGGGCTCACAAATTAAAGATCCTGGCTGGGGTGGGAGGTGGAATTAGAAAGGGGCCAGTTCGGTGTCAGCCCAGGACACTAGTTATTGTCTGGAGATGCCCAAAGTTGTGCCAGCAATGCCTCTTGAAAGGGATGCTTCTTGATGACTATATTTATTGCAAGAGTAGGATTACGCTAGCCTTTGCCCAAATTCCCTTTCCCGTAAAGAAATCCGCATCCCCGGCTCACAGTGGGGCAGCCGCCGTGCCGGTTTTCAAATCTGTGGCTTTAGATCTCCAGACAAGGCAAAGGAGACCCAAGACAGATTTGCAACTCATTTTTTCCACTGGAAGAAGGAAGCCAGGAAGCAGGGTTTGCTTTTTTGCTTTCCCCCCCTTGCCTCTGGGCATCATTTACGCCCCCCCCCCCAGCAGGAAAGGCCTTCGCTTCTGCCCTGCCCTGCCCTTTCGTTGATGGGAAAACGTGTCCGTCCCAGGCCAAAAGCACGGCAGCAGCTTTCCTTACAAGGAATTTGGCTGCAGCTCAGCTGGCAAAAATTGCCAGGGATGGGACTTCTCCCTTTCTCAGCCTCATTCATTCAAGTCAGATCCAGGCGACCAGCAGCTGTCCAGAGCAAGCTGTTGCCTCTCTGTTTGCAGCAGCAGAGACCTGGGTTCATTCCCACCTCTTCCCCCACGTCAGCTGCAGTGGGACCAGAGCCTTAGAGGAGCTGTCTGGCAGTCGGACGCAGACTAGCCTGGATGTATGGATGTCTAAACTGGCCAGGATTTCTCCAGCATTCTTTGATGGGGCTCCTGTTTTAACAGAAAGGTGAGCTGGTTCATGACAGTTAAGGATGAGGAGGAAATGTTCTCCTCCTTAAGATAGTGATGGGCATGGTTCTGCTGACTGTGAAATGTGGTAAGCCAACCCTGGTTGCTCGGGGATCCTCTGGCTCATTCTGCTGGCGAGAGGCATGGGCCTCTGCCTCAAGGTTGTAGCTGTGCAGCATTCCAGCTGCAGGGATGAAAAAAAGAGAGGAAGGGGGGACTCTTCCTGGCTGTGTCTTGAAGGACACCCTTTCCCATCATTAACTAAGCTTACTCAATTAACACTGCTGCCTAGGTTTGCACAGCACACTGAGCTGCACACTAACACCAAACCTGGATCCTTCTAACATACAAGACTAAAATGTTGGTTGGCTGAGAGTCAGGCGAACCCAGAAAATATGGGGATGTATCCTGGTAATGTTTACAGGCTGTGTTTGCCCAACAGGCTTACCCATGGTTACATTGGCTCAATAAATCCTATTTTCTGGATGTGCAGGACATCCTGAACCATAAACAGGCTGAGTTTGCACAAGATGTTGGCTAGTTGGTGGTCCACAGTGTTGTGCGAATACAGCCAATCTATATTTAATGGGAAGGAGTAAAAGAGCCTGCATTTGACACAGAAAGCAAAGAAAAATATGACACTGAGAAGAGATGTGTTAGAGACCCAGCTGCTCTTTTTTATGCCTACACCACATTTTTGGTCTCAGTGTTATCTCTGAACAGGGTTCATTCCAATGCACAGGTCTGTGTGAATTTCATGGTGGGTTCATACATTGTTCTAAAATCCTTATCTGACTTTGTGTACTGTGTGAACTCAGCTGTGATGGTCTGTAAATGTGTGTGAACCTGGCCAGCTTTTTTAAAGGGGAGGGAAGCCATTGCCCCTGTCCTCATACTTGCAGAAGATCCATCTTCAGTATTTGAGAGGATCACACGGATCAATTTAATCAAGGCAAGAAACATTCTGGTAATCAGTTAATCCCAGAGTCATTTGGGATTTCCTTCATGTCCTTCTCTTCACTGGGCCACTGACTGCCATGGACCCAAATAGATAGACATACAATTAAATGTTCCTTTTCTATTGATCTTAATCTTAAAAAAAGTTTTGTTTCCAGTTTTCCTGTCAGGGGAATCTGAATCTGCATTTCATCTACTCCTACTCTACTTTTGAGCTTCTTGTGAGTTGTTCTTGCAGGCATAAAATGAGAGAAAATGAGAGAGATGGTGTAGTGGGAAGAATGCTGGACTAGGTGTAGGGAGACCCAGGTTCTAGTCCTTTCTCAGCCCTGGAAGCCTTCTGGGTGACCTTGGGCCAGTCAATCTCTCTCAGCCCCAGACCCTATGTGGTCCAGTGGAGAAGGTGCTGGACGAAGAGCAGGTAGACTCAGGTTCTAGTCCTCTTCACCCACAGAAGCTCCTCAGGGGGACTTTTGACAAGATATTCTCTCAACTTACCTCATAGGGTGGATGTTGTTTGTGGGAAAAACATGCTCTACTGTGCTTAGGTCTAAGTACTAAATAAAAATAGTATGCTATGAAGATGATAAATCTTTTTGGACTGTGTTTGCAAAAATCCCCTAAATCATAGCTTCCTCAACCACAGTATATTAAAATTAAGCCAACTGGTAAGGATATGACAACTCGCCAGACTATCAACTAATCCAGGTTTGCATTATACAGTACACTAAGCTATGATTTTTAGGGTTTTAGACGAGCATCTTGTGCAAACTAGTCTTTGTTTAACCCTGCAGAATTCTACCTCTGATCTTTAGTAGCACATCACCTGAGTTACATGAACCCCAGCTGTCTTTTGCTACCTGGGTGTGACCTTCCCCCTCTTCTCCTCTCTGCTGTCCCATCTTGCTTACAGTCCAAAGGCCTTTCTGAGGTTTGCCCCGTGAATGAAATGTGTTTATCCCAACTCAGGGCTCTCTGAATCAAAAGCAGATGTGCTAAGAGGCTTAAAGGAGAAGAGATGCATGTCAGTAGCTCAACTCCAAACAAAGTCCCATTCCAGGCCAGGATTACCAGGCCCTGGAATTTAGTTTGAGCCCCAGGGCTCAGCAGCAAATAGAGCTTTATTTCATTTATTTATTTTAAATATTCCTACCCTGCCTTTAAAAGAAGACGCTCACCCCCTCACCCAGTTGCTTCCAGCAATAGCATTCCATACAATTAGACCATAAAGTCACAAAACAGCAAACGTTGATACAGGTTACAAACCCTAGCAATTAAAACAAGCAGGCTCAATGTTCTAAAATCAAAAGCCAATTGCTGCTGAACCCTGTGGAGAGATGATACAGTAAACAATGCATGTGCAGAGTCCTGACCTCTTCCCACCTGGCGAAAGGGCTCCAATTCAGAGGAATGATGAGTTTATAGAACCCCAGGCACAGAGGACCTCCATCTTGGCATACTGGTCGGAGGTGATTGGGAGAAGCACCATTGAACTTGACCAAGGATGGGAACAGGATTTGGCCTTGGTGTCCCAGTGGGCAGGATGATGTCAGGAGTGATACCTTTCCATTAAACTGCAGCGCTGACACCATTATGAAATAAAGATGGAGAACCTGGTTTTCCTCTATGATGGAGATGAGTCAGTTTATAAGTGGCTTCCTCCTTTAGGGAAGGGGGAACCACCTGGAGTTACTTTGTGCCAGAGGCATCCACAATATATGTCAAGAAAAGTCAAGATGGCAGCTGTGATGGTTTGATTGAAGCTCTATGACGCACATTAAATATGGGTGGAGCTTCAATGACACCTTCATGGCCACCAGCCTGACTTTTCTGATCATCCTTTACAGACACCCCTACTTTGCACCTTCCCAAGTTGGGGAGGAGGTTTGTCAAGGCTCCATGGGCTGGACTCACCAGTCTGGTGGGACCAGAGTAGTCCTTCCATCTGAAGTACCCCATCACCGATGCTCCAACAGAACTTGTTTGGGGTACCAGCAATGGGTGAAGGCATGCCTCTCACCCTTGGAGGACCTGAACCCAACCAAAACACCATTTTCCAAGCACAGGATTGATTTACTGAAAGGGCAGAAGACTAGCTCCTGAGAAATGGGGAAAAGCTTTGAAAAAGCTACTTGTTGCTTTTTGAATCCCAGATATCTCTCAATCTCATTTTCCATGCAGAGAGGACAGCTTCAGGAGGACAAAGTGAAAGTAGCTTGAGAGAGGCAGCGTTTTCAAAAACAGACAACAGCTTCCTTTCAGATGAGCTGGCAGCACACCCCGTGTCACCCTGTAATTTGTATAGTTTGGCTTGTGTTGGGTGAGCCATCATGATCTGTAAACCAAGATTTATAATTTAGTATACTACTTTATTTAAAAACAAAGACACTTTTAGAGAAACTGTTTCTTAAGTATTGTGTGAATACCTTTGTCTTTCTATTGCTGTGTTCAGATTGGGGGGGAAAAAAACTATAATCTTGTCATAGAACCATTGCTTACTTTCAGAAAGTCACGGATTCAGTCTGAAACATTTCTGGCCTGGGAGGGGAAAGTCTTACTCAAATTGCTGTAACTGTAGTTAACGATAAACTCCATCAATTATTGATTCCGTGATTGAACTCCTGAATCATGCTAAGCCAATTTTGTTCAACTCTGGTGTTTTTAAATAAACTGTGGTTTATTGAATAAATCACCCTTGGCTGTTTCACATAACATATTGAGCCAGTAACCAAATGATAGTTTTTTTTAGTATGAATTTGTGGCAAATTAAACATTAAATTCATGTTGAATGGTTAAAATTAACATTTAGCTATTTTTTTTTTAACAATGTAAAGTGGAGTTCGAGATTCGTGGCTCTTTCATGAATCATAGTTAGGCAAGCCAGGTTTTGTGCAACATTCCCCACATTAATAACCACCATTTTGAAAAATGGAATTACGGTTCTTCAGGCCAAGTTTTTGAAGAGCACGAGTCATTCCTAAGGTTACTCTAATGCGATTCTTATCAGCTATGAACAGCTTATACTTTATTTGTTTAATCTATTTATATAACCGCCCATCTCAACACCGACTCTCAGCGGTGTAGAATAATAAAACAAATACTTATACAAAAATTAAAATACACCGCAGCTGAGGAAGCCAACAGCCATCCACATAGCCAGGAGACAGGTCCCTTCATACACTTGGGGCCCCAGGACCAGGCACAAAGCCAGGTCTTTAGGACCTTATGAAAGGCCAACCTGATCCCCGGAGGGAGAAGTTTCCAGAAAGCAGGACCTACGGTAGAAAAGGCCCCACCAGCTGACATTCCTTAGCTGAAGGGACCCAGAGCATGCCCCTCCTGCTGGATCAGTAGGGCGGGTAGAGACAACTGAGGAGAGACGGTCCTGAACATAATCCATCACAAGCCATGAAGGGCTTTAAAGGTGACAACCGGCACCTTGAATTGCACACTAGCAGCCAATGCAGCTCATGAATAGTGGGGTTACATGCGTCGAATAACCAGCACTATTAACTCCACATTCTGCACCAGTTGAAGCTCCCAAATGCTGTTCAAGGGCAGCCCCATGTACAGTGTGTTGCAGTTGTCCAGATGGGAAGTCACAAGAGCACAAGTGACTGTGAGCAGAGCCTCCCAGTGCAGGAACGGGTGCAACTGACGCACAACCTGAAGGTGTCCAAAGGCCCTCCTAGCTGTGGCTGCCACTGCTCCAAGCAGGAACTGTGAGTCCAAGAGGACCCCCAGATTGCACATCGGGTCTGTCTGGGACAGTGCCACCTCACCCAGGACCAGACATGGAAGAATGCTGCCAAGATCAGAAACTTGGTTTGGAGAGAACTGCTAATGTGTTGTTTTAATCTGTGTGGTGGGGCTGACAACAGAAGAACCGAATTACTCATTGTTGGCTTTTCTTTACAGAGTCGGAAGATGTCTTCCATGTTTGGCAAACCTCGGGCTGTCCCCTGGGCAAACGAGCGCCACCTCCCGAGCCTTCTGCAGGAGTGCAATGTGGCCATCCTGGGCTGCCAAGGATCTGGAAAATCAGGTTAGGAGACAAGGCTCTTCCTGCTGGGGCAATCCCCATGTGCACCTCTGAAGACACTTCTTTGTAGCTTTGGCTACCCTAATCCACCATTTTGTAATTTGGAATTATGGGAGGAAATCCAACACATCTTGAGAAAACCAGGTTAGGGAGGCCTGGATGAGTCCAGGAGAGGACATTCCCTCTTCATCTAGTCTTAGCAGACCTGATATCTGCTTACCTATGATTTAACTAATAAGGGTTTGCTCGATCAACTTGATTACCCAGGCTGGAAAACACACCAAGCATAAACTAGTCATGTGGGCTGAGTTCACACAATCTGTAAGGCTAAGCAGAGTCACACCTGGTAAGTAAGTGGATGGGATCCCACCAGGAAATGTTGTACACTAGACAGGGATATTGAACAAACAACCTATAAGACGGATGGCAAGCAATTTTCATATACTGTACAGTAGTTGTCAAGGATGTCTCTATGAAGCTGATGAGAGTCAAGCCTGACTCGAAAAAGACTTTATTTTAATTTGAATTATTTATTTAATTCAATTTTGGCACCCCCTGACTCCAGAGCAGCTCTGTGCCGCTCACAATATAAAACAGAATATAGATATAGTAGCATAAATTAAAAAAAAAAAACTACAGTAAGAGAAATAACGCAGTGGCAGTCTTGACAACTTCAACACGAAAACAAAAAATATCAATCACTTCTAACAAGGGGGGATTGCAGGCACCTTACCCCAAAGCCTGGAGAACAGTCAGATCTTCAAGGTGTTCTGTAATGTTAGCAGGGTGGAAACCACTCGGATGTCGGGCTGGGGCTCATTCCAGCAGGCAGGTGCTACAGCAGAGAAGATGACTTCTTGGGTCCTAAAGGATGACACTATTTCATTGAAGGGACCTGAAGCATACCAACCCTATCACCTAGAACTGGCAGATACCATGGGAGGTAGATGATCCCTCAAATAATGAGGCACCATGCCAAGTAGGGCTTTATAGGTGAAAACCAGCATCTTGAATCAAATGGAATTATACTTTGAAATTCAGTGTATAATACAAAAACAATGTTTTTGCAGGCTAGATGACCATTAAGTATGAACAGATTTACTAATAATGGGAAGGCTGGAAATTCAGTTGGGTTGGGGCCAATCTCACCTCAGGGGGGATGATGTTCCACCGGACAGGTACCATGGCAGAAAAGGCTCTCCTCTTGCGTCCCATCAGATGGAACTCCTTAGCAGATGGGACTCATAACAGGCCCCCCTGCCAGCCCAATCAGTCTCCTATTTCTCAATCATCTGTATTGCTCTGAGCAGGGGAAAAAAGAGTTGTTACTGCGTATGAGGTAAGAGATGCAAGGTAGAACTGGACTTATTACTCTGTGTGTGGTAACTTTCCCCAACCTTGTGACTTCTGCTGGTTGGTAGGAGTTGTTGTCAGCATGGAGGAAGTCCATCTGGCTGGAAGGCTGCAGTCCAAGCCCTAGCTGTGAAAGATGTAGACAAAATATCCAAAAAATGGGTGGACCAGTCTAAACCAGTCACCTGGGCTAGGTGCCCACAACACCCTAAATCCTAAACATTGATTAACAAAACACAGTGGCCAGGTTCACATAACATGTCATAGCAAATCAAGTTTATTACAGCTTGAGGTGATGTCTTGGTTCATATAAGATCCAAAACCATGGATCGGTTCCCACAACCACCTAACCCCATTTTAGCCTGATCTAACATGTGAAAAAGGCTTTGCCAGGATCCCAAGCTAGCTGAAGGAGAAACATCTGGTCTGCCCGTGGAAACTGGATTGTTTGGTTCTGATCTAGCAAAAGATCTAACAGCTGGGGGAGGACCTGCAGATATGAAGTAATCCTCTCTTTTCTTGCAGCACTAACAGTGAAGTTTCTTACCAAGAGGTTTATAAGTGAATATGACCCCAATCTGGGTAAGTCTGAATGTGACTCCTTCATGTCTCCACACTGCTCTTTGCAATCTCAACTCCTCCTTTCATGCTGCTGCTTCTGGTTTTCTTCCTTTTTAAAATAAACCGTCTTCTTTTGAATCAGTCTCAAATCCTGGGATGTTTGGAACTAGAGCAGGAGTGTCCAGGGGGGAGGGGGGTCAAGATGGCTGTTGCAACCACACAGTTGAAGCCCCACTGTTGTTATTTTTTACCTGCATCACATGTAAAAAGGAGACGGTGCTTTGATCACACCATCACCGACCCCAGTTTGATTTTTTTAAACACCCTTCTGTGGATACCCCTGATGAAAGAGGGGTTGCACCATGTATGAGAAGGGTCAGCCTTTATGTGTCCAGTTGTGATCATGGTTGGGGTCCCCAGAGCTTATGGGTATGGAAGGGTCAGGGAGCAGAGAACGTCAGGCTGAAGGTTCTGCCCCCTGAACTTCTCCAAGCAGACTACAAGTTTTGGTGAAGGCCAGGTTGGCACAATCTGCTAAGATACGATTTTGTAAACCAGTTTGTTCAACAAGTCAGGGTTTAGAAGTCATCCTGGGAAAGCCTGGTTTTGAAGGGCACCCTATGTTATTTTCAAAATAATAACCAAAATAAAAGAAAGCTAGGCTTCATCCAGCTCACCCAACATCATGGAAGTTGTTTAGTTTTGGCTTAGAGTGTTGTACAAAAGCTAGCTGATATGGCTTGTAAATCAGGATTTATGGCTTAGTGCATTGGGTGAACTCAGCCCACTGTGACTTATTCAGTGAGCCATGGTTCAGCAAACCTACTTTTGCACACTGTGTGAATGTAGTCTGGAGCTCAGATGAGACTTTTAAGCCCCCTTGAGTCATCTATGTTCCTCTCCCTTCCTGAAGAATGGAAGATCTTCAAGAGTGTTCCATCAGCTCCTGCCTTCTTCTGGAATTCCCATAGGCATTGAGAGCATAATGTTCATGTTGCAGAGAAGGCCAGTTCCAGGGAAAACTGGCTCAAGGATCCCAATTTGTGGATGTTCAGTCCAAGGGCATCCTCCCCAGGACCTCGTGGTCTTCCAGAACTGCTTGTTCTGATCACTATTCCTCCACTGATAATTTTGACAGCAAAGCCAACATTAGCACAGCAGCAACTCTTGCCACTGCTGGTGACCCACATAGAACTGCTTCAAGCTGAGAACCACATGCATGTTCGAGTAGCTTACCTGGAGACCACCCTCTAAAACTGGGTGGAGCTAGGAGAAAGGAATGGGCAAAGCTAGGGTCAGATCTAAACTGGATTGATTGATTATGTGCCATCAAATGGATATTGAGTCTTAGCAACCACAGAGATATATATTCTCCGGGATGATCTAAACTTGAATGAGATGGAATTGGAATGGAATTCAACAAAGAATGAAGGAAACACAGGGCATAGGATTCCTCCCTGTGCACTGAATCATTGTGTAGACACTTAAACATGTCATTTTGGAAGCCACTCTTGCTGGAGATATGTGAGTCAGGAGGCTTTGGAGGAAGAGATTGGCCTGACCTAAAGTAAATCGTATAGAATAAAAAAGTATCTTGCTATTGCTTTTTTCCAGGATGTTTTCTTTTTTTAATTCCCAGACTAGCCTACACTCCTGGGATTCCCTGGTAATTTTCCATCCAGACTAAACAGCTTTAGGCCAGCTTAGCTTCTGATCCCAGATCAAGTCAACCAGGGCCTGCCACCTGTTGAGAGAACCAGCTACAATCCAAGTTTAATCCAGATAACTCACACTTGAAAGGCTTGTTCATTCCCATGAACAGAAACTGGAAGTTGGGATACCAAAGAGAGATTTTCAGGCTGGTTATTCGTAGGGTAGGAAACTCCTACTTTGGGTAGCAGCAAAGGTGCTACCCAAGGTAGGAGTTGGTTCAGATCCACAGGCCACCAGCAATCACCCACCAGAAACAAGGCAAAAAGCAGGGCTGGGAGGGGAAAGCAATCCTGCTAGACCTTAATAAGCAGAGAGATGGGTCTGCGCCTTGGAAGATGTCAGTCCCCTTCAGGAGGTTATTTTGTCCAAAAATGTTCCAGGGTATTTTAAGTTCTTCCAAGTTCTGCTCGCAAGTTTGTTTCATGGCCGTTTCAAAACAAACTGCCAAATTTAGAGCACATACCAGGGAAAGGAGAGATGGAAAACAATGATTGCATAGGAGGGTAAAGAGAGGCTTCTGAGCTTAAAAATCTTCCAGAAAGTTGAGGGCTGTGATGCAGATCCCATGTCAACCCACAAATCCCCATGGAAAGGGCAGGAGGCCAAGGCCACATTAGGACGCCAGAGCCAAGGGTGACAAGGTTTGTCAAAGGGACCTTAAAAGATTTCTTTGCAGTCCTCTCTTCAGCCTGTGTTTGCCCCCTGGATTGCTGGAAAACCATCGTTTACTATTGCATCTAAGCAGGGCATTTTTGCTTTCTCCCAACCAGCACTGGAAACCACACTGCTTTTGCTGACTTCTAAAACTCTGGAAAATGTGTGTATTGGGTATAGTTCATGCATTTTATCACTTGCATCTCTGTCTGCTAAACATTCTGTGATTAAGGCCTGGTTTAATGAGATGCTAAGCGAGAGACGCCCGTGCCTGCTTTTTGGAGTAGGGCTGTGTGTGAACCCAGCCTAAGTGTTGTTTTAAAATCCAGTCCTGCTTAACGGTATCTCAGATTTATGGTCAAATTTTATTGGGCCATTTGAAATGGTGGCTGGAGAGCTGAGTTGCTCAGAAAGTAGTGTTCAAGTTAGGAAAAGAACTAGTAGCTGAGTTCATACACTAAGCTACTGTAGGATTTCTTCGCTTTGGTTTCAGCATGTTGTGCAAACTGAGCCAATGATGGTTTATGCAGCAAATAAACCACAGTAAACTATGATCTATTAAATTGTGGCTTACCACAGTGTCTAAACCAGGGTTCCCCAAAGTGGTCAATATCGACCCCCAAGTATCAATAGGACTATCCAAGGTCAATGTTAGTCGTAGTAGTAATAGTAGTATTTTTCATAGTATTATTAGTTAAAGTAGTATGAGGGTCGATGAACAATCTGAAACTTCATGAAGGGGTCAATGAGCTGAAGAGTTTGGGGACCCCTGGTCTAAACAAAGAAAAAGCGAAAAAGTGGCTGGATATGCACCACACACTTCACTTGATTCCTAAATTAACCTATTTTCTACTTTTGCACAATAAACTGAACCAACAAACTAGGGTGGGT